ATGCAACACACATAAATTTTGCACTTTTGAATTTAATCTGCATTGTGAATATTTTCTGTCACATACTTAAATCTAGACCACAGATCCGCAAACTTTTCTTAAAAGGGCCCAATAGTAAATACTTTAGGTTTTTCAAGTCATATGGTCTCCACTCTGCTATAATATCAAAGTAGCCATAGACAATACACAAACATATAGGTGTCGCTATATTTCGTTAAAACTTTATTTACAAAAAAAAAAAAAAAAACCAGGCAGATTTGGCCCATAGTATGTGGTATTTCAACTCCCTAGTCTAGACAATCAACAAAACATGAAAGCAAGCCCTCATTTATAGTATTTGCCAATTTCTGTTTTATAAATATTCTGACCACAGCCAATTTTCAGATACAAGAAGCCATCACTGAAAATAAACTTAGGAAGAAACGCACGGTAGCACACACCATTATATAGTGTTTACATTAAACAAACACAATAGGTCTAAATAACTTCAAGAGAATAGGTAATAGTAAAATGTAATTTTAAAATTAGGAAGTGAAGTGTATGACCTATTTCACTGTAAATTTATATGATTTTTAAATAATGGCTATATAAAACAACTGGCTTACAAAATTCCTGAAAACTTAATCAGTGCCTGCAAGCTGGCAGAAGTCAGTCTTAGCGCAGGAAACCAATTAAGTCAAAGTATCTATGGATGGGAACATGGTATCTTAAAAACAAACAAACAAACATAACAACTCCAGAAGAATCTAACATGTAGCCAGGATTGAAAATCATTTTTCTAAGCCTGAGGATGGGGCTGATATCCAGGTTTCTTGAGATGTGGAAGAGGAACTTACTTTCTGAGAGAAGCTAGACGTTGCAAAGGAGAAACCTGAGGAGAGAGGAAGCAGAAGCAAATAGAACTCAGTACTTTATAGGGAAAAAAAAATCATAAAAAGAGAATGCCTGGGATGTGGGAGAAAGAATTCTGGAGAAAAGACTAGGTTGACCAACCATCTTGGTTTGCTGGATGCAGGCTTTTTAGTGCTAAAATAAGGGAAGTCCTGGGAAACCACTAGAAAAATACATTTTTTTAAATTTTAACTAAATTAAATTTTAATTAAAATTAAAATTTAAGTAGCCATAAGTGACTAGTGGCTACTTTACTAGACAGCATAGTGAATCTAAACAAACACAACAACATGGCTTCTTTGCATATGTAAATTTCCTCTTTTGTGTGCTGGTATGGAAAGTATTTTAAAGCACATTAAAAGGGAGTGAAGCCGGGTGCGGTGGCTGACGACTGTAATCCCAGCACTTTGGGAGGCCCAGGCGGGCAGATCACAAGGTCAGGAGATCGAGACCATCCTGGCTAACACGGTGAAACCCCGTCTCTACTAAAAATACAAAAAAATTAGCCGGGCGCAGTTGTGGGCGCCTGTAGTCCCAGCTACTCCGGAGGCTGAGCCAGGAGAATGGCGGGAACCCGGGAGGCGGAGCTTGCAGTGAGCCGAGATCGTGCCACTGCACTCCAGCCTGGGCGACAGAGCGAGACTCTGTTTCAAAAAAAATAAAAATAAAATAAAAGGGAGTGAATAAGAGTAGTGAGAGAAGGCATCCTTGCCTTGTACCAGTTTTCAAGGTGAATGCTTCCAGCTTTCGCCCATTGAGTATGATATTGGCTGTGGGTGTGTCATAAATGGCTCCTATTATTTTGAGGTATGTTCCTTCAGTACCTAGTTTATTGAGAGTTTTTAACATAAAGAGATGTTGAATTTTATCAAAGGCATTTTCTGTGTCTCTTGAGATAATCATGTGGTTTTTGTCTAGTTCTGTTTCTATGGTGAATTATGTTTATTGATTTGCATATGTTGAACCAGGCATACTCCCCAAAGCAATTTATAGATTCAATTCTATTCTCATTAAATTACCACTGACGTTCTTCACAGAATTAGAAAAAACTATTTTAAAATTCATATGGAACCAAAAAAGAGCTTGTACACCCAGGACAATCCTAACTAAAAAAGAAGAAAGCTGGAGGCATCATGCTACCCAACTTCAAACTATACTACAAGGCTACAGTAACCAAAACAGCATGGTACTGGTACAAGAACAGACATGTAGACAAATGGAACAGAATACAGATCCCAGAAATAAGGCCACACATCTACAACTATTTGATCTTTGACAAACTTGACAAAAACAAGCAATGGGGAAAAGATTCCCTATTCAATAAATGGTGCTGCAAGAACTGGCTAACCAAATGAGGAAATTGAAACTGGATCCCTTCCTTACACCTTATACAAAAATTAACTCAGACGGATTAAAGACATAACTATAAAACCCAAAACTATAAAAACCTTAGAAGAAAATCTAGGCAATACCAAGCAGGATACAGGCATGGGCAAAGATTTTTTGATGAAATCACCAAAAGCAATTGCAACAAAAGCAAAAATTGACAAATGGGATCTAATTAATCTAAGGAGCTTCTGCACAGCAAAAGAAACTATCATCAGCACAAACAGACAACCTACAGAATAGGAGAAAATTTTTGCAATCTATCCATCTGACAAAGGTCTAATATCCACAATTTACATGAAACTTAAGCAAATTTGCAAGAAAAAACAACCCCGCTAAAAAGTGGACAAAGGATATGAACAGACACTTCTCTACAAAAAGACGTACATGTGACCAACAAACATATGAAAAAAAGCTCAACATCACTGATCACTGATTGTCAGAGAAATGCAAATCAAAACCACAATGAAATGCCATTTCATGCCAGTCAGAATGGTGATTATTAAAAAGTCAAGAAAAAACAGATGCTGGCAAGGTTGCAAAGAAATAGGAATACTTTTACACTGTTGGTGGGAATATAAATTAGTTCAACCATTGTGGAAGACAGTGTGGTGATTCCTCAAAGATTTAGAACTGGAAATACCTTTTGATCCAGCATCTCATTACTGGGTATATACCTAAAGGAATATAAATCATTCTGTTATAAAGATACATGCATGTGTATGTTCATTGCAACACTATTTATAATAGCAAAGACATGGAATCAACCCACATGTGCACCAATGATAGACTGGATAAGGAAAATGTGGTACATACACAACATGGAATACTATGCAGCCATGAAAAGGAATGAGATCATGTCCTTTGCAGGCATATGGATGAAGCTGGAAGTCACTATCCTCAGGAAACTAACTGAGGAACAGAAAACCAAACACTGCATATTCTCACTTATAAGTGAGAGTTGAATAATGAGAACACATGGACATAAGGAGAGGAACAACACACACTGGGGCCCATTGGGGAGGTTGGGTAGGGGGTAGATCATTAGGGAAAACAGCTAATGCATGCTGGACTTAATACCTAAGTGATGGGATGATAGGTGCAGCAAATCACTATGGCACATGTTTACCTATGTACCAAACCTGTACATCCTGCATATGTACCCCAGAACTTAAAAAAATAATTAAAAACAAAAGTAAAATGCAAAGAATGGAGTATGTATGAGAGAGACAATTCTGATCCTAAAGTTAAGTATTTGCTACCCAGCCTATGTGCTAATATGTATAAGTGATAGAAATTCTTCAGAAATAAGCAGTGAACTTGAGGGAAAAAAAAACACTTTTTTCCCCCCAGGTTACACTGTAGTTCATATCAATCGTTGCTGATACAAATGAGTAGGATGAATGCCATTAAAGCAACTACACTTCCCCCTCTCTTTTTATTTTTTTCTTAGCAGTGCATCCTTCTAGAAAACAACCACTCTCCCTCACCTGGTTTTTTCTCTCTTAATCAATAGCAAGTAGTTTGCAAAATTGCAGAATGGATTTGTAATCAAGTCAAAAACCTGGAAAAGAACAATGCTACTGCACTATAGAAACCCTTGACTGTGATGTCTTGAACATCACTTCCTAAACCCTTAGCTGACTAGCAGACTATGAGAAATAAATTATCATGTTTAACATGAAATTACATTTCCCAAAAAGTCCATTTTTACATTCTAATGTTCTCACTCAAAATGCACACGGGAATGTCATTAAAAGAAATGTTATAGATGGAAATATAATGTTTCTAATGTTACTTGCAGAATAAAACAATATTAAGAAAGAGGAATTGCAGAGATGAAAGTTGATGAAAATATAATTTCCTTCTAATGTTATCACATACCCACAAAAATAATCAAAAGGAAATGATGAGTTGTAGTAACCATGATTTCTTAAATGGAAATAGGCCATACTTTGAGTAATTCAAATTTTACTAACTACAATCTCTTGAAATGCAGAATATGAAATTATAGGACAACATTAACTTGACAAACTTAACATGGAATGTCTGCTATGAAAATCAAAAGTATTTAAATTCCCTAAGCTTTTAGTAGCAAAACCACTACAGCCAAATATGAGTTGTTCTTTATCTCTCTCAAAGATGCAATAGCAAAGTAGTCGAGGACATTTAGCGATCTTGTCCTGACAAATAACCAATTCACCTTTTTTCCCAGTATATTCTTAAGTATTGATTTTACCAAGTGAACTCAGACATGTGTCACACTTATCCAATACAGATCCTTTTCCTTGGAAATGTAGTTTGAACATCAATCAGTCACCTGGCCTTTCACCTTCAATTTCTATTGCCACTGTCTGTCAACTATTAAAGCTTGCCCATTTCTCCAAATGTTATTTTTAGAAACTGAAATATACCATGACCATTGTGAAAAATTTGTTTCTTGGAAAAGTGTGCAAATGTTCACATGATTAAATTCCTTCATTACAATTACTTTTCTGAATTGAAAACTAGTTAAAGCTTATAAATACACATTTCAAAGACCTCTAGGTATTTTCTGTTAAAATCTATTTCCTGAATAATATTACCACTTGTAATATTACTAGTTTGAGGAAGACAACATTAAAAAATATTCAAGCTAAGTGGCATTGTTATAAGTGTCTTCAAATGGAGCAGAAGGCTTCCGCTCTGGCTGAATCCAATGAGAGGCACAGAATGACACCCACCTTGAGCTGCAGGCCTCCTGGGACAAGCGTGTTTGCTGGAAGGCTTTTAATGTGTTGGTAGACATAAGAGGAGAATTGCTCCTGCTCAGCCTGTAATTGGGGGCCAAGTTTAGAGAGATGACCTCTGTTGCTTTTGATAGCTGTCTGCAATTCATCAATCAGCCTGCTCACCTGAAGGGGTTAAATTACAAGAGTTGTTAGCGAGAAGTAATTGTTGATGTCACACCTATTAGATTTTTGAGTACCTAGTTTGATGGGGGGAAAATGACTTCAATACAAGAATTTGAGTACAGATCTATCCTCAAGTAAAAACAATGAAAGAGATACACATTCCTACATCTCCTTTTATTTATGAAAAAATGCCTAATATTTTCACTTCAGTACTATGGCATAGGTAGTCCTTTACAATTGTTGCATGAAAAATATCTCTGGATATGAAAAGAAACATATACATTTGACAAGTTTGCAAAGGACTTTTAAACTGCTTAACAAAATAAAACCCTCCTAGGACTTTAAATAATCCAATATATGTAACCTACAACCAAATATTTCATTTCACTACATGTATCTTCATTTTTAGAATATTTTATTTTATTATGTGTAACATTTACATTTTCAATATATATATATTAAATTCATTATCATTTTGTTGACCTTTAAAATTAACCTATTATCTTCCTCCCAAATATTCCAATACTTTTTCCCATATTTCATAGATGCAATTTTCTAAAATGTATATAACTTCAAAGACAATGCTCTGTTCTGGAAAATATTTTAAATATATATTAATGTCAAAATAAAACATAGTTTTTCCAGAAACACCAAAGCCTAAGGATTCTGTAACCTTGATTTTTAAATTTCTAGACTTCTACTCTGTATATTTTAGACAGACATATGAGCCTTACTTGTGGATTATTAATAGCAGTAGTTAACATTTTAACCCATATAGTTTACAAATTAAGAATCATTACCATTCTTTGACTCTTCACTGTTTCATGTAACTTATATTCTCTCTAGTAGGCTGGATTCTTACATAAACACTGGTTGATATTATGGTAGTGACCAAAAGAGATGAAGAACAGAAATCTACTTCATCTGTGATTCTTCAAAATAACCAAATTAGACCCATTTCGAATTATGAATAAGTTTGAATAGAGCATTGACATTGAAAACGTGGGTTAAAATCCTGGCTTTATCGCTTACTGACTGGGAGACTTTGCACAGGTAATAAAATCGTTGTCTATAAATGAAGAATAACACTGACTTTACATATTGATAATTAAATGAGATGAAAAAATGGAGAGCACACTGTCTAACCTATAGTAAGTGGCCAATGTACTGGTATATTTTTATAGTGTTTCCTGTTTAAAATCTGTTTAAATTCTAGGTATTTTCTGCATATCAAGTTTTAATTTTTTATTTTTTGGTCTTTCTTTTCTATCTCTATCACTATTTCACAGGAGGAAGACAGACATTCCAAACTATTTGCTGTATAGATCCTACAGCTCACTTCAATGTTCACAGATAAAATGGAAAATCCTTCTAAAAGTATCTTCCCTGTACTTACATCTCATCCACTTCTCTGTCAGCTAAAAATATGGTATTTGCCCCAGCCTATATTCTAATTCTAACATTAAATCTATTGTTTCTATCCCTTCTACAGAGCATTCAGGGAAGTTAGTGACAGCCAGTGTGCACTATTACTCACATGACTTAAATATGTATTATCTACTCTACCTATTTAGTTCAAGTTTATATGTATATCTATTACATATACATTTCAATTACATTTGACTTTTACCAAGACCTTTGCAAGCATTACATGCATAGAAACAAGTTAACTTAAAATGATTCCTATTTTAATTTTGTTTCCCATATCTCTCTTATTTGTCCCAATGTAATAAATTGTCTACTCAATTTAAATAATCCTTTCTTGGAAATAAAGGGTTGGCAAACTTGTTTTAAAAAGGGTCACATAGTAAATAGTTTTGGTTTTGTAGGCCATAAGGTATCTGTCAAAATTACATAACCCTACAGTTGTATTTGGAAAGCAAACACAGACAATATGTAAATGAATGGGCATGGCTGTGTTAAAATAAAACTTTATATACAAAAAAAAAAAAAAAAAAAAAAAAAGCTGCAGGCTAGATTTGTCCCCAGGGCTATATTTTGCAGATCCCTCTTCTAAATATGTAAATGTCCTATCAATTCTTTCATTTCTTTTAAGTAATACTTTGGTTCTAGCCCTCAATCCCCTCATCCCCCTCCCCAGTTTGGATTAACAAAATACCTACTAAGTGGTTTCCCTGTTTCCATCTCTTCCCCTCCATGCCATTAGGCCACCTCCACCAAATTAATCCACCTTGAAAAGTATATTAAACCCCCTAGTTGCTCCCTCAGATTCTTGAGCTTGGTACTCAAGATTCTAAGACCTTTTCTAATCTGATCCCCACTTGGTTTTATGGCTCATATTCCCATCAGACCCCTCTCCTCTAACCAAATGTCTCTTCTCACTGTCCCCTTGCACACATAAACACACATCCCTTCCATTTCTGAAGTATCATAAGTTAGATAATGTTTAACCCAACACTCTGATCTCACAAATGAGGAAATTCCATCCCAGAAAAGTTAATTTGCCGAGGATACTCAGATAATTAATACTGGCACTGAAATTAAAGTGTATGTCCCTGGATGCCTAGGCCATAGTTTTATAACTCATTCTTCTTTTATATCCAAGTCCACTCATCAGAAACCCCACTTCCTCTGGCAGACCTTCCAGCACTTAGTACCTAGATATTACCATCTGGCACTCAATCAAAGTCAGCTGTTTATTGTTCATTCTTTACTAATAATTCTATTAGTATTATATGTGACATATATGTGACATCAGAATTCCTATGTGATTTGCTTTGGCCAGTGAAATATGAACAGAAGTAATATATGCCACTTCTTAGCAGAAGTTTTAAGAACCATTGTGCAGTTCTACCATCGCTCTCTTCCCTCTGCCCACCCAACCCCATGGAAACAGTAATGTCCCAATAGGAACTGCTCCTTCAAGCCATATCCCAGACTGAGAAAGACATACTGGTGAGAGCCACAAACAACCTGTAGCCAACATGTAAGGTGAGCAAAAAATGAATACTTGTTTTAAGTCACTCAGCTTTTGGGCCCCTTGACTTATGCAGCACAATCTACCAAAAGCTGATAAACACATTGCATTCTGCTAAATCTCTACAATCCTATATAACTTATATAGTAGGTTACTAAGAGTCAGCCCTTAACTGTAAATTCAAATGAGAGTCTATAGAAATTTCTATTATCTATTCATAAGGAAGCCCCTCATGCCAGTGGAATTTGGACAAAACTTTGGATATCATGGGAATGGAAGGCAGAGACAATACAGGGAGGTCAGGAGGAATCCTAAAGGAAACAGAAAAAGAAAATGAGATAAAGAAAACAAAATTAATGAAAAGAAGAAAAGAAAAGGAGGGAAGAAATTAAAAGGAGAAGGTGATTGGGGGAAATGAGAAGGGCAGAAAGAGAAAGAAGATGTGAAAAAGAAAAGAATATTATTTATAGGCTATAAAATCCACTGACAGGTTTCTCTCATTATCCTTCTTTTACTACTTTTTGGAATAAATTTCCATGCTTTCCATAGTACTGCTAATCCTACAAGACAGTTGTAACATTTAAAATATGAAAATGATAGATGATCCAGTATTAGTCTATGCTTTCAGCCTCATCTTCACCATTAGATCATAGTACCCTCTAGCAGTATTATCCTTAAAAAACGATGGATAATAGTGTATAACATTCTTGAAGCTAAAGACCAATACTGGACAAGGTGGCTTGCATTTATGGTTATCTGATGAAATTAAAATCCAAGAACCAAAAGCCCTAAATAGAAGGACTCCATTTCCGAAAAATACTGGTCCTCTCTGCACCCATCTCCAGCATCATGTGATTTGGGAAGATATAATGTTATGCAGTCTTTAAAGTCTACTAAGTATCATGCATTGTATTTCACTACTCAATTATAACATTCTCTATAATTTCATGTACTGCACCTTGTGCTATAGCAAGTCACCAAAAATAATAAAAAATAAAAAAAATAAAAAATAAAAAAAACCAAAGGGAGGAAACTCAGACTTTGATTTGAGGGCATTTTTATACATGACTGGTTTTACTGTCACAATCTATAGCCTTTCACTGATAGGGGATTTCATGTGACATCAAAAATCAACCAACCATACAATTGATGATGTCATTTGCACTCTAAAGGGCTATTGGTTAAAGTCTTAAAAGTTTCATCTGGGATAGATTTTTGGTTGCTTCAAAAACCTTCTCTACTATTTTTATTGGATCCAGGATAATCTGTTAACATATGTGAAACAAAATTACACCAATTATCACCTGATTTTAAAAAATAACTTAAAACTCTCAAGGTATCTGGAAAAGATTAACATATCTTAAACACCAGAGAAAATACATCAAGAATCCTGTCACTGACATTTTGATAATGTTTCCATTCAGTTTTACTCAAACTTTATGTTACTTTACATATTCATAAGGTCTTTTATTCCCAAAGTGTTACGTTTTGTTCTCAGTTATTATGATAACATGTCATCCTAAAAGACAACTCTACACATGAAATAACTCATATCCTAAAATCAGGTAGGTAATATAATACTCCTGAATTATTTTACATAATATGATTTTTTCTCCAAATCACAGATATTGCTAAAAGGGAAAAAATGTTATTTAAAATTCTTCATCATGAATCTTTTTTTTCTGAAATCCTTTTTTTTCCCTCTACAAAGGCAATGTGAATAGGGGTAAAAGAAGACAAAACTTGACCTTTTGTGATCCCAGCATTAATGGGTCTGTTCATAATTCAATCTATGTGTGTGTGGGGGCATCCATGTGGAAACATAGAGGCCTGAGAGACATAAAGCCTTTCCCTTTAAACATTATCTGACCCTATCAGTCCCATTCACAAAAGAAGGCTTACGTATGCATATGTTGAAAAAATGCACCATCTCATTGTGCAGCAGAAAGCCTACACATTTGACTCTTCATTCTCCGTGGAAATGCAGCACGGAAGTGATACTTGTACAGAATTTGGGATAGTGACAAATAAGCAGAAGGTAGCAAAAAAATATTGAATATTCTGGTGAGAAAACAAACCCAAACTTCTGAAAGAATAGAAATGTGCACATGTCTATAAACATACAGACAGGTTTTTGCATAACATGTAGGGCAGTTTGATCATGTTTGTATGGTGCATGCATGCAACCTTTGAATTCAATTCAATTCTCAAGATGATTTATAGTCAGAGCAAAGTGTTATTCTGTTTATAATCAGGCTTCAAAAGCAGACATGTTAAAGCTGTGCATTTCTGAGCCATACATTGTGAATACTGTACATTGGCTATTATTAATGACTCTTTGAGGAGCTCCTGGTTTTTCTAGTGATGAGTTCAGCTGTCAGCCTGAATTCTGTGTGGGCTTGAATCCACCCATGTTATTAAGGAGAACTCCAGAGCACTTTGCACAGAACTGTCACTTGAAATCAGCACAAAGGGTGGCGGCCTCTATACTAGGAACGTCATCTAGGCATGTAACACACGGAATGGTCTCAAAGCCAGGTCAGCACTTCAATTTAAGATCAAGAAACTTTCTAATTAACAACATATTTAAGCTGAACCAGAAAGGAGGCAGGGAAATAAAATTAGTATTTTAAACTGCTTAAAATCTCTTCTTGGTTTCAGGGTCAATAATACAATGTTTTAAGGGGTAAGAAGGAAACATAACCCTGATTTGTTGAATGAAGATTGGAAAAGACATGGGAGCCTGAGAGCAAAGTGAACTATGTCTTTATTTGGAAGTTGAGCTGGCGTAACTAACCAGGAAATCTGAAGTGCGTGGCACCTCTTATTGCCAGCACTTCAAATACTACCAAATTTTTGTGGATTTTTTCTCTTTTTTTTTTGACCCAGAGTCTCACTCTGTCACCCAGGCTGGAGTACAGTGGCATGGACTCGGCTCACTGCAACCTCTGTCTCCCGGGTTCAAGCAATTCTCCTGCCTCAGCCTCCCAAGTAGCTGGGATTACAGGCATGCACAACCATGCCCAGCTAATTTTTTGTATTTTTAGTAAAGATGGTTTTCACCATGTTGGCCAGGCTGGTCTCGAACCCCTGGTCTCAAGTGATCTGCCCGCCTCAGCCTCCAAAGTGCTGGGACTACAGGCGTGAGCCACCACACCTGGCCCAAATACTACCACATTTCTAATAGCTTCCTAGAACCCTTCTGAGATGGGAAACATTTTGGAGGTAGATCTAACCTATTTTCAGCCAGAGGTCCTTTATGTGCTGCTTTTGGGCCTATACAACAATCTAACATCCCCATCCACTCATGGGAGAAGGAACAATTGAAAATAGACAACTTCAATGTCTTCATAACTCTTCTGGCAATGGGGTTATGTTGATAGCTACAAGGATGATGTCTACTATACCTATGGGGACAGCCATGACACTGTGTCTCATAGACCTCTAACTACAGGAGCATAAGTGACCATGGGTCCCATCTATGGTGCTCTGAAATCCATCCCCAGGTTAGCACCAATGCCAGAGGATATTAAAGCAGGTCTATCCCTGAGAGTCACAGGACTCCTCTGATGGCCAAGTTTGGCTCAAAAATCCACCAACAGTTTTGCCAAACCTTTAGACTTCACAGTGGTCCAGGATGTTTCTACCCAACCTTCCTTTCTCCCTCATTTGGGGTCAGGCCTGCATTTCAGTATGACAGATTTCTCAGCCTTATCCAGTGCTCTCTCCATTTTCTCTCATAGGAATTTCTTCTAGTAACATTCTACACGTTTAATATCATTTTGGTACCTACACAATACAGAACCTGGAATAATGCACTTTTATACTGATAATAAGAAGTCATATGCAAATTTCCAAAAAGCTTAATGTGGGGGGGCACAGTGGCTCACCTCTGTAATTCCAGCACTTTGGGAAGCCAAAGGGAGGAGATCACTTGAGGCCAGGAGTTCAAGACCAGCAAGGGCAACATAGCAAGACTCTATCTCTACAAAAACTTTTTAAAATGAGCTGGGCATGGTGGTATATGCCTAAAGTCCCAGCTACTCAGGAGGCTGACGCAAGAGGATCACTTGAGCCCAGGAGTTCAAGGCTGCAGTGAGCTATGATCACACTGCTGCATTCCAGTCTAGGTAACAGAGAGCGAGCCTATCTCTAAAATAAAAAAATTTTAAAAAAATTTTAAAAAGCTTAATGTACTTTAACATACATCATCACCTCAAAGTGGTTTTATGATGCATACATTACTGTTACTCCCAAATTTCATGTGGAAAAATTATGTGAAATAAAACAAGATTTTAAGATAAAACTGTAGGCAGCAGAAGATCTAAATCTCAGATTTTATGATCTTTAATTTGGGGTTTGAGAATTGTCCAGGAATGTATTTGTATAAAAATCATAGGGAAAATATTGAAGTAATTTCACCACCAAATTTTTCCTTTCTCTTTTCCATCAGGATTTCCTTTCTCTGTATGTTGATTAGACTTGATGTTTTAGCCCTAAATTTTTAGACTTTTTCTAATCACAAGTTTTTTAAGCTATTCGATAGTCTAACTTCCTCATCCACTCATGGGGTAAGAAACAACTGAAAATAGTGTCATTTTAAATGCCTTGATAACTCACCTGGCAAGAGAGCTATGTTAGTGGTAACAAGGACTTTTCTAAAAAGAGTCTTTTAGATTTTTTCTAACAAAAAGTTAGAACTTACACATCTAGATTAATATAATCACTTTCCAAGTAAGCACACAGAAATTATCTTCAGAGACTATGGAATATATTTAGAAAGTGTCATATGAACACATACACACAAACATACACATACATGAATATGTATTCTCCTCGCTGTGTATTTGATACTTGAAGTAAACAAGGCTTTTTGAGCCAGAGCTGAAAAAGCAAATATATGACTAAATAAGGCATTGTGTAAGAAGAACACCAAAATATATAGTGCTAAAAAAAATAAAGATGACAATAACAAAGAAGAAACACCAAATAAACATAATTGCCATTAGATTTTCCAGAAAAGATAATTTTCATTTCCAATGTTGCTAACAAGGTAAGATTAAAAATTACATATTTGCTATACTGATCATTTTCCAAGACCACTTCAAGTTTTCAGTCCATTGAAATTATAATTTTGCATAAAATATCAAAAGGCAAAATAATTACAATATTTAAAAGGAAGAAAATACTTAATCTGTTATTCTTTTACAATATTTTCTATTTAATTTCTAATAATTGATATTGCTATAGATATTATTTTAATTATACTAATTAATCTAGAGAGACTTCTTTGCATTTCCCAAAGTTTCCAAGATACATGGTAGATTCATTTTTAACTTACTGTGAAAATGTAATTAAATTCTCCAATTCTGGTAAAACATTTTTCAAACACAGAGAATGATGTTTTTTCAAATTTATAATTAACAACCTAGTCTTGTAACTTGTTAATATTTAGGAGAATGAGTCAGAACTATAATATAAATCTGTGTTATTGCTATTTATTACATTTTAGAAATGGTTTAACTTTAATTTTCCTTATGAAATATTATCTACTGAGATGGATAATCAATTTTTACAATATAGTCTTTAATACTAGACAAGTATGTCCCAAATACTAATATGGTCTCTAATGTAAGAATAGAATTTACACAGAAAAATTTGGTGCATGCTACTTGTTCATCTATTACAAAACACATGGTTAGTAAGGAAGATGCAATCATAATGACAAGAAATATCAAAACCCTGAAGCTTGAATGCATTTTTTTACCAAAATATCAAAAAAGAAATATATGAGAAGTTTATTTTTTAAATATTCACATTATCTTATTTCTGAAGTTACTTTGGATTTCTACTGACAGAAGTACATGGAAATTAGAAAATTCCCTTTCTTTCCTTAGAAAGATTAAATGCCTTGGCATTCCAGGAAATGACATGAAAATCATTTTCCCCTTTTGTCTAACACCAATTTTGTATTATTTCATTTATGGAATATGCTGTCAACTTCACAGCATGAGCTTTGAAGAGAAGAACGTTCGCTTTAATAATAATATTGTTCTTCATTACAATATTGCCTACAGAATCTTCTGATTAGCTCACTTAGGCTTAACATTTGTAAACTATAGTTTTCCCTTGACAAAATATAACTTTGTTGGTATTTCTAAAATTCAGAACAATAACTCTATTCTTAGAAAACCATATATAACAGCAAGATTTGGTATTTATCAAAAATTCAAAAAATGTTTTAATGTTTTTCCTATGTTAGCAGGTTTTATAACTTCCAATTTCAAGTTGCATGTAACAATTTACCAATTTAGGAAACTTATGAGAAAATATTCATGAGACTTTTTTCAGAAAATTATACTTTGTTTTATTCTTTTAAGCATGCAATTATTTTTCATGCTGTCTATACCAAAGTAAAATTTATCTTAATTTTAAAATTAGTGTTCATTGCAGGTTTTTTGGTTTTTTGTTTGTTTGTTTGTTTTTTGAGACGGAGTCTCACTGTGTTACCCAGGCTGGAGTGCAGTGGCACAATCTCAGCTCACTGCAACCTCTGCCTCCCAGGTTCAAGCGATTCTCCTGCCTCAGCCTCCAGAGTAGCTGGGATTACAGGTGCGTGCCACAATGTCCGGCTAATTTTTGTATTTTTAGTAGAGACAGGGTCTCACCATGTTGGTTAGGCTGGTCTCAAATTCCTGACCTCGTGATCTGCCTGCCTTGGCCTCCCAAAGTGCGGGATTACAGGTGTAAGCCATTGTGCATGACCCTCACTGCAGTTTTAAAATATAGAAAGTTATTTCCTTACTTCTTCATGTTCCTTATGGTGTTCCTTTGCTGTCATTGAAAGAATGACTTTTTCTGTAATTTCCTCCTTCTGTTCATTCATGGCCAGGTTCAGCTAGAAAAAGTAAATAAACAGCATGAAAGCAGGTATCTATTGGCTCATAATAGCGACATTTATTCAAACAGCTAGTTAAGCATAATCATGAATGCAATTCGATATTAATTTTGCTGATACTTACATGAAAAAAACTGTAAATTTCATTTTATATTTAAAATATTTAACAAACTGAATCTTTTACTTTCAATCTTTTATTGCATTGAGGATTGCTAAAGATGACTTAGGGCAAGAGTGTCCTTAACTGCAGATATTAGACACTGATGAGTACTTTTTAAAAGCATTTCATTAAAATGAACACAACTTTTTAAAAAAAAAAATTAGGTTGATATTTCTATTAAAACCTTTCATTATGAGTAGGGAGTAAATTGTTTGCTGTTATGTCGGGATAAGAAGTCAATGACATAAACCAAAAGCGTCAGTTCAACAGTCTAGAATGGTGCTAAATCATTTATGATATTTCATGACAAAGGATCATGCATCTAAATACATAAACAGTTACCTCAAACCTGCTCCATTTACAAAGCTAGATAAAGGTCTTCCACTATGGCTGCTAACCCATGTGTTATAAAAAATGAATGTGGCCCATTCTGTATTTCTTTATAAATAGTCCTTATAGAAACAAATGCTATTTTCATACAAAACATGAAATTGTTATGTTTTTTAATGAAATTCTTATTTTCAAACAAAAATGATGTTAAACTCCCAAAATAATATTTGCTCAACAGACTGACATTAATAGAGAATAAGAGCCTAATACAGAACCCTCTGAATTGGAATATTTAATAATGCTTTAGCAATGGACTTGCCATACGATATTTCCTTATTGAGGATTGGAGTGAAAATGAATAACAACTATGTGTTTACATTTTGTTTTGTTAGTGTTGTTGTTTTAAGTAAGCTTTCTCAATTGTATGCCTGGAAAATCATGTTTGAGTGAACATAAATCTTTAATCCAAACCCTACCTGAAGACTTACTCCTATATTTGACATCAAATAGAGGAAGGGAGGTTCAAAAATATGATCTCTTGAATCTAGATGTGCATATATACTAGAATAATAGTATTAAACCTGTAGACACTTCATCCAATGATATGAGACACAGCTCAGTATATCAGAGATTCTATTTTGGTAGAGAGAAAAGGCCCAGGAATCTTTTGGTGATTCTGATGATCCTTCTAGATAAGGAGTTGGGAAATGTTTTTGTAAAGGGCCAGATCGTAAATATTTTAGGTTTTGTGGGGGCAGAGGGAGAATACAATCTCTGTAGCAATTACTTGACTCTGCCATTGTAGCATGAAATAGACTATACACACACACACACACACACACATATATATGAGCATGGCTATACTTCAACAAAACTTTAAAAAACAACAATAACAACACATGGCAGGCTGAATTTGGCCAACAAGCAGTGGTTTGCCAATCCCTGCCCTAGAATGAGAATCAGTGATAAAAAAAATCTTTTCTTATTTATTTATTTTTTATTATTATACTTTAAGTTCTAGGGTACATGTGCATGACCTGCAGGTTTGTTACATATGTATACATGCGCTATGTTGGTGTGCTGCACCCATTAACTCGTCATTTACATTAAGTATATCTCCTAATGCTATCCCTCCCGCCTACACCCTCCCCACAATAGGACCCGGTATGTGATGTTCCCCTTCCTGTGTCCAGGTGATCTCATTGTTCAATTCCCACCTATGAGTGAGAACATGCGGTATTTGGTTTTCTGTTCTTGCGATAGTTTGCTGAGAATGATGGTTTCCAGCTGCATCCATGTCCCTACAAAGGACACGAACTCATCCTTTCTTAATGTTGCATAGTATTCCATGGTGTATATGGGCCACATTTTCTTAATCCAGTCTGTCACTGATGGACATTTGGGTTGATTCCAAGTCTTTGCTATTGTGAATAGTGCCGCAATAAACATCATTATGTGAAACTATTCCCAAGGAATATATTTGTTACTGTGGTTAAATGATACAAAAAAGCCCTTAATGCTAAGAAAACTTAAATATCAAGCTCAACTTCCACACATGTAAGCCTAGGTGTGAACCATGGCACAGCATATTGGTCTAAAGCATCTGTTTATCAGGGGAGTTCTCGTCTCGAGAGGAAATGGGTGTAGAAGAGAGGGACCAGGCTGGAGAATATTTACCAAGTTCATCTATTCTTTACAAAATTTATTTCCAAATGCAAAACTTTCAGAGCAGATCTTTGTTAAAGGGAAGCAAAACAAAACAAAAACAGGGCCATGAAACTCTTTGGTGCCACAGCAGGTGAGGCCGATGCTAATGCGTTTTCGGGGCCATGACATTTAGAACTGCTGCCAAGGAACTTTTTATTTAAAAGGTGGGAATTCTTTGCCTTTGAAAGCACCACAGTTGGAAAAAAAATCACCTCCACTCTAATATTCAACTTCTAAAGAAGCACTAACTAATCTACATTAAAGGGGGAAAACAGACCAATGCTACTGAAAACCATCATGGCATAATCCCAAAAGGGAAGTGCAGTAAGATATTAAGAAATAAATGGTCACCAAAATATAAGGATACACACATGGGGCCTTTTCTGGAAATAGACAAGGTATTCCAAAAGATACATTTTAATGAAAGCATTTAGAGGAAATCACTGAAAGTAAAAAGTCAAATTAAGAAAGGGCATTTTCAGCCTGAGGTATTAATATGCAGTGCTAACAGCATCTTTCCCTTAAACCCCACGACATGGTAACAATGGTAGGATTCTTCTCTCCTGTCACCTTTGATGAGAATATCCTGTTTCTTCATTAAAATAAAACTATATGCTTTCGATTCGCTGTTCTTATCTAAAATATATGAAATAACTTTTTGTCAATGGGTATGATATTTCTGAGATCAATTTTTCATGTGTTAACAAGGGTAGAGATTTCAAAAATTAAAAATTGGAAACAGAAAGGTGGATAAAATTTGCATATAACTGAAAAATCAAATCCCCACCATATAGGGGAGGAGGAAATCAAGTCACTTGGTTCTAAGTACATCCTGTCCCTTTTTAAATATAAGAAGGCATCCTCAAATATTCATTGTGCACATGAAAATCTAAGAAGCTAAACAGGAAGGTTTCATTCATCATTTTTGTCAGGCCTTGCTGCTAAGATTTTTAAAACTTGCAACAAACATTAGCCATACATACTTAGGTTGAAGTTGGGTTCATTCAATACCAGTGGAAACCATAATAGAACAATCAAGAAACTAGTCAAGAACAGTATCTGAAATGAAAGAAACAAGAAACATAATGGCTCTGGCAAAGAAAACTGAACAAGATTGTTTCAGGAAAATGGTCTGGTTAGATAAACAGAAGATAAAAAGGAATAAATTCACATCAAGCAGTTAGTTTAGAAACTAAAGGGAAAAAATCCACAAAGGTGTACCTGAAGTAACAGATTCCAATGAAACAATATCCATTGATTGTTACCTTCCAAACTATATCAGTTTACTTAAAACTTAATACTAAGGTTTCAGGCTTTGTGCCCTCTCCAAAGCCCTAAGGGGTCATAGTTTAGTAATATATAGTTCTTTTAAAAACATGTAGCCCCTTGTGACCATAATTAAAAGTGCTCTTAATTTTGAGGAATTCTTCAAATGTTTGCTGGCTCAGGAAGCTCTCTTATGGACATCCTAGAGGGGAAAACGGGCTCAAGACCTCCGGCTGGAGAAATACAGTCAGAACAGCAGTGATCCCATCCTATGTGCATCACTAACCAATGATGGATTGTCTTTTTAACTCTCCCCAAAATATTTTAAAGTGTGCTTAGAAAAATCATACAGATTGTGTAAAAATTTTAACAACATGCTAAGATCTTTAAAAATCTATTTTATAGGAGAAAATACTATAGTAACTCTAGAGTTCAATTATTAATATCTTTAGAAAAGGTACAGTAATTTAACCAGCTAGTGTGTTCTGTCTACCTAATTCATATTGACATTCCAGATAGGTACTAGCCAAAGGGGGAAAAGCCTTTTAGTCCAACCAAACTCTCATTGCTCTGAACTATAGTTCTGCATGTCGTTTTCTCTGTATTGAGAATAGCTAATGATTTAAATGTGAAGTATATGATATGTGTTACATAAAATGTGCTTAATGAATCAACATGACCCAACAAGAAAACTGAATCTATTAATATAAAAAATCCAAGGTTTTCATGAGATCAATAGATTAATTGATCTATTAATAAATATTTGATCCGTATTTTACATGCAGATCAATATAGGTAATACTGTTTTAGCAGAAACAACACGATAATCAGCCTTCATATATATTGACAAGTTTCCCAATGGTCTGTTAATATACAAAAGACTGGGACAAATTACTTATTTATATATACAAAACATGGTTATAAAGGCCAGCTGCAGGTATTTTTTTGGAAAGTGCATTTTAATAAGGTCCTATTCAGTTACAGAACAAATGGAGAAGAAGTAGTTTGCACTACAGAGTTTAGCGCGAGAGCTTTCTCTTTTTCTAACCACGAAATCAATCATTTGTCCAGACTGTGGGAGTCAGAGTTAGTTACTGAAAAGAGCTCCGTATATAAACAAGTCAATAACTCATTGTGTGTTATTGTCGAGCTGAAGAAGTCGGCTTTCAAAGAGCTGCCCCAGCTTCTCTCAGAATGAATGTCACTGTATTCAGGGACTGGGAGAGAGTCTTTTGTTTCTAGCCATTGCTGGCTGCCATTTATGTATGGGAACGGGAGGTGGCTGCTGGGAGAGTGGGGGAAGCCACTATTTGGTATATGGATGTCCAGAAAACTCTGAATTTGGTCAACCTAGTTAATTTGTATCTGGAAATGCATTACTGGAATTAAGAGTGGCCACACAAAAAATATCTGGTGAAAGAATTAAGCAATAAATGAGTCTGTACCCTTTGAAATTGGATAGGACTGATATTTTTGGTTTCCTACCTGTCCACAAAAATGAATCCAAAATCCAGGCATTGGTTTGAAAAGTTCAGAT